GTGACTTGTGAGGAAGATGCCTTTCATGCTGTGAAGCAGTGGTATGAGTACGATTCTTCTGGGCGGCAACAAAAACTACCAGATTTAATTAGTAGCTTGCGATTGACCAATTTTGACTTAAATTTCTTATTGAGAAATGTCCAAATACTGCCTGGATGTGAGTCATTGGCATACAAAGCAATATCGTGGATTTCTCTACCTTCGCATCGTGAAATGATATCAATAAAGTGTAAAGAACCTCGCAGAAGTATATGCAACAAGTCGGTAGAGACAACTTTGCTAGCGGTGCAAGCTTATGTAAGTGCTACAAAATAGAAATTGCATTGTGGATTTTCGATACTTATGATTATTCAGCCATAAATGTTAGATGAATAATGGCTTACCAGATGCCATCGTCCAACGAGTAAAACTATCGCTTATTTCCAAATTAAAATTTCCGAATAAGAGATTTTTGAATAGAACTGTAGGAATTGCAAAGTCCAAATCTGAAGCCGAAAAGCAGCGAACGTATTATTCAAAACATACGCTTATTTTGTAGCTTTTAGATTGAGTGATAATACTTTCGGAATTTTGCGTTGTACAAAAGTCGGAAGAATAATCACCAATCGCCAAAAAGAATTTAAAAACAACTACTACATTTTTTAGAAGTTTCAGTGTTTTTTAAAAACTAGTTTTTTGAAGAAATTCTACACTGACGAACTTTGGTTTTTATAAAGTAACATTGGAGCTGGCTTCTTTGTATCGTGTTATGAGCTATGCACCCCTCTCGGAATTTTAGTTGAGAATTCTCTGTCGAAACAGAATTTTGCTTTCGATGCTGTAGCGTAGTGTGACGAAATTGCTGAAAAAGTAAGCATTTTGCGTTTATTTTTTATCTTTTTATTTTTTGCGACCAAACACTAATTTAATTTTTTTTATTGCATGCACGTCTAAGTAGTCATTACCAAACAACAACTGAAAAGACTGTTCTCTCTGGTGGTACAAAATGGGAAGAATTTTAATTTACGTTGGAACTCGCTTGTTTAGGACCATTAAACACACTATCGAACTCGATTTTTCGCTACCAAAGTCATCTTTTGTGAACATTTTAAACTCAGTTACCTAATTTAAGCATTTAAATTAAATATATTTCAACCTTCTCATGGTCTGTAAAAATATATTGTTCATAGACTATAAAATAAGTAAATAATTAACAAAATATTTCAAATGTTTCATTTAATCCAATCCATCCGTTTCCGACTGAGGAGAGGTCTCGCGCACGATGTCCGTTTTTCATTTCACGAAATTTCTAATCACCATACACCGCTAAAAAAAATATCTTAATTTCAAAAAATAAAATATCTACAGGTCCAGCTTTTAAATTTGATATCCCATTTTCGTTATGCAAAATTACGACGCAGATCAGATCACCTTAAAAAATTCCTTCTCGGATTATACATATGTACTAGGGATGTTTCGAATGTCATATTTTTCACAATGCGAATGTGCGAATACGAATGCGAATGCTAGGGATAACATTAGAAAAGCTATAATCAACTTAAGCCATCGTTTTTATTATTTAAAAATTTTGTAAATTATTAGAACATTGAACGAGTACTTAACCTATATAGTGTTTTAGTCTAGTAGTCAAAGTTCAAAACGGGCATATCATATTTAAAAAAGAGTAATTTTGCTGCCTTTTCTTCCATGAGGCGATTTCTTTGAGGCTCGTATATAAGGCCGACTGCACTGAGCAATCGCTCACTTGGACAGGGCTGCCAACTATCCTTAGCTATTAGGTGTCATATTGAGGATAAAAAAGTAGCAAAAAGTGCAAAAAAAAGCGCCATTCTTTTTATAAGCTTTTTAATCATTCCCATTTAGCAATAAAATAAGAACCACGTTTTCTAAACAAAAGTGCAATGATAAAATAAGATAAACCAGTTGAATAGCCTTTATAAATTAGAAAATTTTAGTTGAGAAAAAGAAGTAACTACACGCAAGGGATTTCATAAAAATATATTGAGTTGTTATTTTTTTTTTATAAAAGTGCCATTTTGGCATTTTGTGCCGCATTGAAAAAATAAATGCCATTTGAAGTAAAATAGGACCAAAAATGGTACTTGGGACGCTGGCGGATGGAGCGTTCAAATATTTGCGGGCCAGATCTGAAAATTTTTCGTATTTTAGTTTAGTTTTCCACCAATCGATATGAATAAATAGAAAAATTTCAAACAAAATGGATAGAAATACATAAATATATATTATATATAAACATATGCACTTTTGAGTACAACTCAAACAAGCGAAAAATACAATGGCGCTATTCTTCATCAAATGAGCGTCATAATAACAAAAATTAAAATTCGTTCGATCAGCACTTTCGACCACAGTCGAAGATCGAATGCAACTCAATAAAAGTGGCCTATGCGTAAAAACTTTGACTCAGAGTTTATCGTTCAATCTTTTTAGAGTTTTTGGAGTTTTGTTTTATTTGTTATCCGCCATTTTGAATTTGTGAAAATCGCCAGACTGCGTTTAAAATTACATGAAATGGGCTTTAGATATCTTATTTGAATCAAAATGGAAATGGGTATTCGGACATGCCCCTTATATTTTTATATAATTTCAAATACATTCGAACTCTTCTTTTTATGGTTATTTTTTAAATACAATCATAAGTGCTTTTACTGCAAAAATTAATTCTTAAAATACATATAATTATAATGCAGGACTGTAAAGGTACAATTTTTCAATATAACCAACCTGAGGATGAATGGCAAAACTACGCTGAATTCGAACATGATGCAAACAGATACGGCATGGTTCTTATGGAAGACAATATTATTTACATTGGTGGTGTACGAGATGGCAAAATAACTAGCGGTGTTGAAAGCTGGAGCTTAAAAACGAAATCGTGGAATACATTGCCTTCAATGATTCAGTCAAGATATTTTTTAACTGTTGTACTATTGAATGGAAATATATACGCGATTGGTGGATTGAGCACAGATAATCAATGTACAAAGTCTGTGGAAAAGTAAGTGTTTATGAAAATGTGAAGAATTTTTAATATTTCAGTACAAAAAAAAAAAACAATTTCGATGAAAATCATTTTCCTTATATGGAGTTTTTTATTAGCTATGTATCAAATGTAAGCAGCGGCGGATCCAGAATTTCTTTTTTTGTTGGGTAGGGGCGTTGGTTTGTGGGAAATTTCTTATTACGTTAAACACCCAACGCCATAATAAGTTTTTAGTTGCTCCTTTGGAACTAATTTAGCAAAAAAAAAAACTGGCAGACTTTCATCGCACAAAATTATTGGCCCACTTAGGGCCAAGTTCACAGTGCGTAGTTAATGAGTGACAAGGGTTTAACTATTGATTTTTATATTCACAGTGTTTAGTTGACAAGAGTTTAAAACTATCTCTATCGTTTAATCCTTGTTGAATTAATTTTTTTTTGTGGAACGAAATTTAAGTTAGTATAAAAAAATATTAGGACTCTTCAGGATCTTGTGCATATGACTTTGCCTTTTGCCCTTTTGCAAAAACGCCCATAGACCAATTGCCAAACCGACCCTGGTAACCCTGAACTCCAGGCATCGAGCTCCATGCCTCGTAAAATCGTTTTTATGACAAAATATTTGTTAAATAACAGTTAGATAAAATACCCTCTATTAATTCAACGCCATAAAAAAATCAGTTTTTTCGCTCCTGTAGGATTTGAATACCACAAGAAAGAGTTCAAACGGTGGATTTGCAAAGGCATCGACGATATGAATCTAATCTATCTGGCGGAATGTGTTTGCAAAAAAAAAAGTATATACATATATATATATATATATACATACAGTGCCGGACAAAAATATTGGCACAGAGAATTTTTCGCAATATATGCAAAGTTTTTTATTTTATTTTATTCTCAATATTTTTTAATAAAAATATGTAGTCCACACCTCACCAAAAAAATATAAAAACAAAATCTCTAAACTTTGGGCAAAGCTCGGGAAAATTCCGGAATTCAGGAAATGTATCCCACAAAATTTCGAAATTCAAAGGTCGGTAGATTACTCACTAAAGGAATTTGAAAACATCTACTAAAGTCAAAAATTAGCTTCAGTGTTTATTAAAACCCAAAAATTCGAAGAAACTTGTTTCTATATTAAGGTAACGATATGTATGTCCCTATTCCTACCAGAACAATTTACCCTAAACTCCAATACAGTTAAATTTTCGTTTTGAAATCTCCCCAGCAAACATTTGGAGTCATAAATGAATATTTAAGGAGTCCCATTTCAGAGCCTTTATGCTCATAATGATATCATTTAAGAGTCCGAAATGAAGGTGTTTCCCTTCCTGCGAAGGTCGACCTACAAGAGCTTAAATTCATACATCAAATGAGCTTCAATATGAGTCATATTGGACTCTTATTGGCCTCATATACAGTTCATTTTGGACTCTTTTTGAAGCTCTTTAATGACTCTTATTGGCCTCATAAATGCCTACTTTCGGAGTCTTTTTTTATGCTGTTCTGTAAGTCTTATTGGCCTTATTCTTCGACTCTTATTGAACTTACTTTAGAGCCATGTTTGCAAGGAATTCATTTCAAATACTGTTGCATACATATATTTGTATATTGCAGCATTCATGTAAAAGCAGCTGCTGCAGCCAAGGCACATTAAACAGGTAGTATCAGTAGAGCAAAAACAACATTTGCGTGTATTTTGTTGTTGCTTCTGGTATCGAAAGTGTCAAAAACTGTTCTGAATTTTTTCTTCTAAATCAAAGCGTGCCATGTGAAATACAAAAAATTATAAAAAATAAAAAATTGAAATTGGAACAAATAAAAATTGATGCAACTTTCTTTCCTAGTAAATTTGTTTGCTTCTCGAAGCATTGATCCATCCTTTACAAGGGCCAGTAATCAGCGGTTGTGCTGCTGAGTTGGGCGAACGTTCCAAAAGCTGCTATTCAATCGCTTGTTTTGTATGGAAAAAGGTTTCACATGCAAATGGATTTTAAATATTCAGAATTTTTGTGAGAAAAAATTAAAAATATTTGACATTTTCGAGACCAAATAATTTGAAAATAAATCAAATCAGCTGCTCTACTGATACTACCTGTTCAATGTACCTTGGCTGCAGCTAAATTTTGTTTATTTTTTTTCTTCCTAATTATTTTTCATATCTGTATAAACAACTTTAGATATAAATTTCGAGTCGTTATTGTTTTTATACTGGCACAAAGTGCTGGCTCATAACTTCGATCATATATGACTCCTAAAAGATTCATATAAGAGTAACAAATTTTTTGTTTTTGAAACTCTTATTTTCTACCTATTTCCTACTCCGTTCGGACTCATATATTCTGAGCGCTCAAAATATGTTTGCGGGGTCAAAGCTAATCACAAATTACTTCGAAAATTTCCTATAAACAAATGTTAGAAGAGTACAAAAACTCACACGTACACAAAAATGTACAGTAGAATAGGGTAAAATTTTCACATTGCTGTTAAGAAATTCGTAGAATCTTTACCCAATACACCAGGTAAAGCTACCTGTAAATATGGAGTATTTTGCCAGTCTGTTGTGGTAGGGATTTGTGTTTTTTTTTATTGTTGAATACTTACTGGCAATTCTTAAAACTATTGCTGTTACAAATTATTTGCATTGTGTAAGCCAATATTCACCCTCATTGCGAGAGTCGTCTCAAATGCAAGTCGTTTTCCGAAAGTCGAATCGTATCGAAAATTTCACGTTATTGCCTAAAATTTCTACTCGACTAGTGTATTAAAACGGGAAAAACTTGGCGTACTGTAGCTACACACGACGAGCATATCCGCGCACATGTGCACCAACATGCTGGCTGTCGTTTGCTACAAACGGCGAGCGGCTCATAAGTGATTTTGTACTCAAAGCGTAAACATGGAAAGGAAAGACGCGGATGATGCAATTGAAATACTTATGACTTAGGGTTTTTTATGTATATGTTTCTTAAATTTATTTATATTTTACTTATATGTATGTACATACATATGCATATAGTAATTTAGCCTCATTTATCAAAAATTCAATTAACGCATGCTCGTCGTTTGTAGCGTGGGTTGCGAGCATCGCATTGGAAACAACAACAACAACCTCACTTTGTGTTGATGCTTGCAGTGTGCACATCGCGGATAAATGCATCCAAGCCATGTGCGTTAATTGAATTTTTGATAAATGAGGCTAAATTACTATATGTATATGTATGTACATACATATTAGTAAAATATATATAAATTTAAGTAACACATACATAAAAAACCCTAAGTCATAAGTATTTCAATTGCATCATCCGCTTTGAGTACAAAATCACTTATGAGCCGCTCGCCGTTTGTAGCAAACGACAGCCAGCATGTTGGCGCACATGTGCGCGGATATGCTCGTCGTGTGTAGCTACTGTAACACACTACAATATACACCAATACGCAGAAAAACAGTTGTAAAAATAACCTTAGGAAATACAATAAGTAGAAAAGAGACCTTTTAGCACTGCTGGTAAAGTCCCCATGTGAGAAAGGGACGCATAGTCACATGTACACAAAAGAACTGGTCAGGTTGTTCATACTACCCCCGAATGCTGTGGTTTAAACTTAATTTAAATGCTCGAGCTGGCTGGTTTAAACTAAGATTAGCCAATCTAATGTCAGCCAGCTGTTCTAGATAAACGCAGTTTACGTGATCTAAGTTTAAACTTGCACTGAAAAATTGGCCCTTAAAGTGCTTTTAAAATAACTCTTACTAACTCACCATAACTAGAAATGAATTTTTAATCATCAATCCGTTTTAGGTATTCAACCGGTAGCGAATGGGAATTAGTTAGCAGTATGAATACACCACGATGCCAGGCAGGCGCAGTGGCGTTAAATGACAAAATTTTTGTTTTTGGAGGCTTTGATGGAAAATGTCACTTAAAATCTGTTGAATGTTACGACCCTTCGTCGAATACTTGGATACAGTGCGCGGATATGAATGAAAGTCATAATTTTCCTGGGGTAAGTCAGCAAAGAAAAAGTAAATTACGCAGATGTACTTTTAAGTACATGCATCTATACACTTGTGGACAGCTGACTAAGTTAAGTGACATTTTGATCAGTTTTGCCTTTTTTTATTTGGCCTATTTAATGTTTATAGTTTTCTTATAAAAGCCTAGCAACTTATATAGCCAGCACCACATAAATCCACAATAATTAGAAGACAAAAAATGAACAAAATTTAGCTGCAGCTGCTGCTATTGAATGCATGTTGGAATGTGTATATGCACGTAAGTATGTACGTATGTTATTTGAAAGAAATTTTCGCTGAATACCTTTGCAAATATAGTGCGTTCAATAAGACTGAAAGAACAACCAAAAATAAGAGTCCGAATGTAGTAATTTATGAGGCCGATAAGAGCCTCAAAAATAGTCTGAAATGATTCATATATGAGGCCAACAAATTTTTTAAAAGAGTCCAAAATGAGCCATATATGAAGCCAATAAGAGTCCAATATGACTCATATTGAGGCTCATTTGATGTATGAATTTAAGCTCATATAAGTCGGGCTTCGGAGGAAGGGAAACACCCTCATATCGGACTCTTAAATGAGCTCATTATGAGCGTAATGGCTCCAAAATAGGACTCCTTAAAGACGCATTTATGACTCCAAATGTTTGCTGGGTTTTATTAAAAATTTTAGGTATGCAGTTTTATAGTCCATTAAATTGTAGTAAAGAGCAAATTTTAAAACGCTAGAAAATCGCGTTGAGTTTTAATAATTTTTTTTGCTGACGATGCTAGGCATTTCCCTCCATATAAAAGTAATTGTCGGGTATACTGTATATGGGAGAAAATGCTCAACACCGTCAGCCAAAAAAATTTTTAGAAATCAACGCGATTTTCTAGCGTCTTGAAATTTGCACTAAAATTTAATCAACATCATACCAAAAATTTTTAATAAAAAGTTTAAAATGTTTAGGTGTAATTGGTTTAATTTTTTACCGACTTCAAAAAGAGGAGGAGGTTATCAATTCGTCGGAATATTTTTTATACCTTTAGACCACGTTAAACGATTTCTATAATTCCTTTTTTAAAGTAAAGTAGAGGTAGGGTGGTCCCATACCAGTTTGGTTTATATACGGTCAATGGCTCATGAAGAAATTAACGGTACTCCTAATTTGTTATATGAGAATTGGAGTCGGTTATATTTTTAACCGACTTCACAAAAAGGAGAAGGTTATCAGTTCGTCGGAATATTTTTATTTTTTATTTTTTGTTTATGTATGTTACCGCATAACTGTGGACCACGTTAACCGATTTCTATAATTCTTTTTTTTTTAAGGAAAGGTGTTACCTCACAGGTGGTCCCATTTTAATTTGGTTTAAATCCGATGATTGGATCATGAAGAAATTAACGATCATCTTAAATTTTTATATGAGAATTGAAATCGGTTTTGTTTTTTGCTTAAAAATTACTTGATTGCTAGACTTATATAAAAAAATTATAAACATTAAATAGACAAAAGAAAAGTAGCCAGAACTGGTCAAAATGTCACTTAATTTAATCATCTGATCGCAAGGATACATGTATGTATGAAAATTAACAATGTACAAAATTATTTGAATTTATTCATAAACCTTCACTTTTTAGGCAGCTGTACACAAAGGATGCATATATGTTTTAGGTGGACTTACCGAAAATAAAATTGTAGAGCGTTATGACCCTCAAAGTAACAATTGGACAAAGGTGAGTTCAAATAATATCATCAAAAATTTGAAAAACTAAAATAGTTTTCCATTACTTTTCATAGGTGAGCTATTTGCACATTGGACGTGGAGCGATGGGTTGTGTTTCAAAAGATGATCAACTTTGGGTTGTCGGAGGCGAACAAAACAAAAATATGAAATATTCCGTATCAGTTTACTATCCAGAATGTAATAAATGGGTGAGAAAGAAGTCGGTACCTGTAGCTCATCGATATAGCTGTTATGTTGTGCCTAAAACTCTACTTCAAAGTGAATAAAAAATATGAAAATTTTATAAGTATTTAGCTGCATAGTTGTAGACTTTCTGGGGAATATTTTGCTCAGGAAATTCAGATTTTAGCCGGTTTAGACATAGATAAGTTTGGTTGTAGCGGCACTACAAGTTTAGTTTTATGCTGTTTTGTTGATCTGAAGCTATATTTACCAGCAGGCAAAGATGAATACTCACGCTGCGTAACTCAAATGAGCAGACTAGGGGGCGGAGACTATTATAAAAATATGTATGGTTTATAAAGTCGGTTGAGGTAAGTTTTGCATACAATTTTTTCTTTAATAATTTTATTTATTTAATTTAATGTTATACATTTAAGCAAAATATTTGTAAACTAGTCGTCGCTTTTAAAAATTCTTATGTCTCGCGAGCTCACTGCACAATAACTTTAAATTATTTAGAATGCTTTGAAAGCCTCAATATTCCTTAATTTGGAATGTGGTAGCTGGAAAATGTTTTTAAATCCATAGTGGGCCTGAAAAAGACTGACGATGGTGCATATTTTTAGTAGACAGAACTTCACACCTTTCGGATCCTCTCACCTCTGTACCAGAAGTCAGTAGGGAGTCCTTTTTTTATTTTTACAAATTTTCGTGCATTATACGATTTTTTTTCTTCACCCCATCACCACCACGTTCAAGGTCTACCGCGCATATACAGCGGTCGCAGCGCCTCATTGGGTCCCGGTATATATTCATTCATATTGAGTACCATGGTGCCGGGAAAGTTTTTGCCTTTCACTTCACGATTTATACGGTAGCTGTTGCGATATGGTTGTATGGCATTCGCATATGTTTGCAGGCCATATGGCATTGTCGCCGCATTTGACACATCTAGCAATGTGGCCGTCGGCGTCGGATGATGCTGTTGCTGCTGCTGCTGTTGCATAGCGGCTACATTGATGTTCTCAGCTGATAATATTGCCGGTGTATGCGGTGCATACTCAAATGGGCCACCATTGATGGCGGCGGCCAGTGGCGGATGTAGTGCATGTGTGGCGGATTGCATGGCCGACGTTGCTGCATTTCCACCACTCAAATACGGACTTATCGGCACAATTAGTGGGCGTGTCGGTATGAGTTGTAGATAGTGCACGCCAGCGTCGGACATTGCCTGTGGCAGATATTGCATGAGTACGGGCGTGGGCTGAGGCATAGTATCACTTGAAATGCTATTGACATGGGGCGCAACGCCTGTTAGCGGTGCAGCATGTGGCACGATGTTGACGCTACTCAGCCTTTGTATGGGCGTGAAATTACTCTCCACATCAGGTAGTTTATAAGAGGGTTTGAAATTGTTTGTGTTCGTGTTGCTGTGGATGCTGCTGCTGGAGCTGGCGCCAGCATTGTTTGCGACATTATTTGAATGTTGTGCGGCTATTTGGCCATAGTTGGTGGCATAGGCATTGAGCGAATTCAATTGAGCATCCTGTATGTTCGGCTTGATCATCAACGAAGCGGACGAGGGTGTGCCGCCGTTAATACTTTTTCCAGACTTTCCAACTATTTCGGGCACAGAAATCGGGCTGGCGTTGGACAGTGCTATGGCGTATAATAGTAATAGGGGTAATTGAAGAGAGCATGGGGCGCTGTGTGCGGTCTTTGGTGATATGTGGGATGTGGTCGAGTGCACCGCACTGGCGTTGTGCTTCTTCATCTAGTTTGCGGAAGAGAAAAATATTTAAACTATTTATGTCTGCAAAAAGGATATTAGAGTTGTATTTACTGCTGTGTATGTGCATATATTAGGGTGGTCCAAAAATAAAAAGTAAAGTCGACATTTTAACGCACCACGCACACCCTAGGATTGTTCTACATACACATATTGAAAAAAATATACTACTGTTTTTATTGTTGAAATAAAAAAAAACACATTTAGATGTCGCTCAAAATTTCCCATGCTTTTATAGAAAAAGAAAAACTTATTTCATTTGTTTCTCTTCAGAAGACCTTTAAGAATGGTTGGTTGGTTGTTTATTTACCCTTTTTTTAAATTACTATTTTTATGGTCCCGAAAAATCGAAAAAATGCAATGTGGGAACCATAAAAAATCGTTAATAAAAAATGATTAAATAACAATGGGTATTCCATGAAGTGTCCGGAAGAGAAATAGAGTTTGCCTATTTGAATATGTGGCTTTTCTAGGATTCTATAGCCCTTCCGCCAAAAAATGCGTTTTTCCGATATAAAATGAAACTTTGAGCGACTTCTTAATATTTTCTAATTTAACAAAAAAAAACTATACATTTTCAATACACACTCATGGACAAAAAAATAGGCCAAAAATTCAAAAAGGATATTGTTTGCAACTTATATTTATTTTAATAATTTTCATTTAAATATACATATCGTCACCTGAAATTCAAAAATACGTAACAAACATCATCGCTGAAATGCAAAAAGTCATAACTAATAAAAAATTCAAAAACCACTTTTTGATTTATATGATGGATTTCATTGAATTACAACTCCTCACATCATTTTATGAAAAAAAAAAAAAAATATTAGTCACGACTTTTTCAGTTTCAGTGGCGATGTTGTTACGTTTTTTTGCATTTCAGGTGACGATATGTAGCTCGACCTATAACAGAAACCACATAAATAAAAGGTTCAAAGCTTACACAAAGTTTACAAAAATGAATCAAATTTCAAAAATTCTCATCAAAATCAATCTAATCAACGGTCAATCTAAAAAATCAATTTAAACTGCCGAATAAAAACTTTGAAATTTTGACGAAAATTTTTTGAAATTTGATTCATTTTCGTGAACTTTGTTTAAGCTTTGAAACAATTATCTATGTGGTCTCCGATACGGATCGAACTTTATTTTAAATGAAAATTATTAAAAATAAATAAATAACAAGTAATTTTTAAGCAAAAAACACCACCGACTTCAATTCTCATATAAAAACTTTGGAGTACCATTAATTTTTTCATGATATAATGATCGGATCTAAACCAAATTAGTATAGGACCACCGTGACTCACCTTTCCGATAGAAAAAGAATTGTCGAAATCGGTTGAAGTGGTCCAAAGTTATGAGGTAACATAGATAAAAAAAAAAAAAATATTCCGACGAATTGATAACCTTCTTTTGTTTTTGAAGTCGGTTAAAAATATGTTGAAAGCAAAATGTTTTTGAATTTTGCACCTATTTTTTTGTCCGTGAGTGTATGTATGTAGAACGATCCTAGTGAGAGCATTAAAATTCCGACTTTACTTTTGTCCCCCTTGTATTTTTGGACCACTCTAATGCCCGGCAATGCATTTCTTTGCTAAGACGAATTCACTGACATATTTTCACTTAGCAGTTTTCAAACAATATTCACAATAAATTTTCCAAATGTTCCAGGGCACTGACAGTACTGCTGAAACCTGAAAGAAATAGTGCCTTAACCGAAGACCGAATCCCACTCCCATTCGGAACTGTCTTTATCCAAAATTTCTCCACGGTATTCAGAAATTTAGTCATTGGTCGCGCATGGTGTTGCTTGGTGCTGCCGCATAGCCTAATTTATGTGGCCCGTATACAACTCCGAAATAACGAAATTTCGAGACTCGACTGGGCATTGCCTACAATAACTTCTGTAGCATCTGCAGGAACAAAACCATAGAGCAGCTTCTTTGTAAAAACAAAAAAAAAAACAGATTTCATGAGTTCACCGCGCTGTTTGGCTTTTACATAGCCTTTCCAACCAAAAGCGCACTTTGTTACTTTTTAGGGTTTTCGTTGCCATTTTAATCTAATCTGAACTAACCTATAAATTTTTTTTTTAATTCTGCTTTATTTTTCAATTCATTCCACTTTTGTACGTGGGATCTTACTTTTATAATTTAGTCACTGTTATCCTTTTCCTTTGCGATATTTCTTCAAGTTTTGTATCCTTTTCAGCACCACTGCTACACTTTTATACTTTTCAATGCCTTTTTTGTATTTCGAGAAGTTTTTTTATTATTTTAATTTAGTTTTTCGCGCGGTCAAAAAAGTTTGCATTTACCGTTACACTGCGCTTACAAACGCTCCTGACGACCTTCATAGCTTATATAACAGCAACGCTGATTTGTTATGCGGCTTTTATATGCGAACCATAAATTTTACCACAAAGACGCACTGCATTTAAACAACACTAGAGCAAACAAGAAAAACATTTTTTAAGCATATGCGTATACATATGTATGTACATATCTACATACTACATACATACTATATGTGTATGCATGTATATTTGTTCAACAATTTTCCTCAATTTACCTACTGTTTACCGGCTTGGTCATGAACATTTGCTACTGCTGCAGTACACATTTTCTGTTGGGGGAAAACTCAGGAAAATCAAACGCAGACCGGTGTTTATGTATTGGCGTGACAAACAGGTTAATTTCATGGCCAATGTCAGCAATGGCTTGCCCAAAAGTAAAAATCAGGAAGAAAATTTGCGTTGTATTGGTAGCATTGCTGTAAATAGCAAAGCATAACATAACATAGCATAACATAACATAGCATAAGATAACATAGCGTAACATAACAACATAACATGGCATAACATAACAAAAAATAGCATAGCACAATATAACAACATAGCATAGCATAGCACTACAACTTAACATAAAAAAGCAATACATAACAATATAAGCAGTGGAACATAACATAACATAGCAATAGAACTTAACATAACAATATTGATAAGCGCAAGGAGACAAAAGAAGAATATTAAAATATTGATTTGCGGGCATCAAATAGGCTCCGAAGAAGCACTCAAATACCTAGAGCAGACGAAGCTCCAAAGACCACTTGTCAGCAGTAGGCGCTAAGGCGGCCCGCGAATTCTCCCCATTACTGGTGAACCTCTGGGCGATAGGAGACGACTCCTCTCCACAGTTGTGGACTCAATACTGCATATATGCAACGCCTGCTTAGGTCGAAGCAAAAGAGCCATCTACGACCAAGCGAACGAATGGGCAGGCATAGTGCTTTTCCGATTGCCTGCGCATACAAAACGGTATGCTAAGATC